CCTAGGCTGCCCTGGGGTGGCCCCACTGCAGTGTCATTGTAGCACAGTGCAAGGGAACCGTGCTGTGTCAGTCTCAATCCCTCCTCCGGCTGACCTCCTTCCCCTCCCTCCGAGCATGCCTCCGCCTCTGTCCGCCATGGCAGTGTAGGAGAGGGAGAGAGGTACATGCGTTCTATTTGACGCTTCACAGCACAATCACGGTGCATTTCAAGGTCGAGATTATATCGGGGACTGCAGAAGGCAGCACATGCGTCAGTAGTCAGAGGACACTTTTGTTTTCACCCCTTTTCTGGGGTACGGGGCCCGGGGTGCGAATGTGGGCCCCGGACCAGACTGAAGGGCTGTGTGCACAGATGCAGCTGGGGTGGAATTTAAAGTGTATGGGGAGATACTGATAGGGGGAGCTGTCAGGTTTCTATAGGGCCCCATGATTTATAATGGTGACTTTGCTGTCCAAGGTGCTTTTGCTGGATAATGGAAACGATCCAACACATTTCAAAGCTCTGGTATACCTCCTTCTTCAGGTGTGGACCACCTAAAAAGGTAGGGGTGGGCAACTTTGGCCCTCCAGCTGTTGTGGAACTACAAGTCCCATGAGGCATTGCAGGGTCCTGCCAGACACAGGCCTGACTCCCAGAAGCAGAGACATGATGGCATTTGTAGTTTCACCACAGCTGGAGGAGCAAGGTTGCCCACCCCTACCTTAAGGGACGTGTGTGGCACTACCTACAGAGATGTGGCAATCTGCGTGCGGAGTAGCTGCAGTTCTTGCTGATGACGTGCAGCTACTCCGCTCAGCACTACTCCTTTGACGTTTCACCTATTCGAGGTTTGCCCCCCACCCCGGTCGGAGTTAAGTGCTCCCCCTGTATTCAAACCCCACCCCCTGCCTCCCCTCGGGGGCGGGCACAGTATACTGCAGTTCCTCGATAACAGGATGGCCGATTTCCTACGCTGGGAAGATGCAACACTTGATATTTGTTACACAGTGTTACAAAGCAAACATCAAAGCCCAGCACTGACGGCCTCCGTGTTTTCCAATTCTGTTCCAGCAGCCGTTATCCAGACTCAGTCGGCAAGAAGTCACCCAGAGAGGGAGGGGAGCCCGGGGGGGATTGGGAGGGGCAGATGTTACCTTTGCAGCTGAGCTCTGGGGTGTTGATGACACCGTTAATAGCAGCTTGTGCCGCCGCGTTCTGCTTCTTCAGGAGCTCGATGGTTCTTCTTAACTCGTTCAGCTCAGAATCCTGCAAAGAGAAGAGACGGGCGAGTGAAAGAGATGACGCAAGACCTCAGACAGACAGACAGACAGACATGGACAGCTTTATCTTTTACATTTAGTGGTCACGTCAATGGAAATACATTGAAGGGAATTTAATGAAAACTGGAGCAGATAGAATCCGGAGCGGCTGTGCGCGGCAACCAATCGGCTTCTCTCTTTCATTTTTCAAATCTTAACTGAACAAACTTAAGACAGAAGCTGATTGGTTGCCGTGCAGAGCTGCTCCAGTATCGATAAATTCCCCCCATTGTATGGTCAATTGTATGGTAGTGCAGGGGCACCCCGAGTCCGGGTGTTTTTGCCAGGAGCAGATACCGGGTGACCCCCCGCCGTGACGTCATCGCGCATGCGCGGTCATCCCTTTGGTACCTGCTGGCTGCCATCTTGGTGATGGACGCCGGCAGAGAGAGGAGGGGATACACCCGGCGGGATAAGATATACCGCCGGGTCCCCTCTTCTCTCTCCTGCAACTGTCGGGCTCTCAGTCCATGACCGAGTGCCTGACTTTTCAGAGGAGGTGACACCAAAATGACTGTCAGTCATTTTGGTGTCATCCGGTGTGGGACGCTGTCGCTTCAGCGCCATCAGCAGTCGCTTCAGCGCCATCCGCAGTGGCGTCAGCGCCCACTTTTCAGCACAAGGGCCATTCGGTAAGGAGTTCGGCAGTTATGATTACAAAGCTCAGCAATA